TCAAGACTTCACACTGGATGAATATACCACATGTGCTATTTTGTCCAGGTAGAGAGGAAAACGTCTGACTGCAGTGGTGCTAAGTGATAGAATGCCTGCTTAGCATGCCCAAGGCTGCGGATTAGAGCCCCCGCTCCAGGAAAACAAGTGGCATCATAAAAGATAGATTTGAACATGTAACTGTATTTTTCCTGATTTGAAGATACCTTATATATCTTTTATATACCTATAAAGGGATATAGGCATGCATACATAATGATAAGCAAAGTATTCTAATAGCCATATATATATATATTAGAATATATATATTGCTAGCTGTGATATTTTAGATCTGTCACTAATTATGTTTTCTCTTCTTTAATCAGTAATAACTCATTAATACTTTTTTTATAAGTGTAGGCGCTTGAGTAATTTATCGATACAGCATTTACACTAACCACTGAAATATCTGTCTGGGCTGATGGATGGATCAGTGGACTAAGCACTTCCCTGGCAAGTGCGAGGGCCTGAGTTCAATCCCTCGTTCTGCCAAAAAGAAGGAAAGAAAGAAAGAAAGAAAGAAAGAAAGAAAGAAAGAAAGAAAGAGAAAGAGAGAAAGAAAGAAAGAAAGAAAGAAAGAAAGAAAGAAAGAAAGAAGAAAGAAAGAGAAAGAAAGAAAGAAAGAAAGAAAGAAAGAAAGAAAGAAAGAAAGAAAGAAAGAAAGAAAGAAAGAAAGATCTGTGTACTACAGGATAGAGATTATAATGAAAACTTAGGAAATTATTACAAAGTCTTATAATTACAAGAGTAACAAAGTCACTGAAATCAGTCTTCACTTGCCTTCCAGTTTGAGTAGCATAAAACAAATCTTAAAATGTGTGTAACAGACTTCTGTCATTAAATTCAATATTCCATGATTTAATAATTTTGAGGAGATGACATGTACTAAAATGGGCCTAAACTATCAAAGAAACATTTAAGTAGCTAATGTTTTAAATTAAAAGCTAATTTTTAAACTCCTTTCTATTATCTAAATGTTTTGTCTAGACACTAAAGAGTAATTGAATTCTGTGAAAATCTGACTCATAATGTAACCTAAATAGACTACTTCTAATACTATGTTTAAAACAACAGCAATCAAACATGCTAAGGGAGATTTTTTTGTCTAGAAATAATTATGTGAGATATGTATAAATGTAAGCAGTAAGAAGATTGTCTTAATACGGTTATATTGAAAAGAATTACAGCATTTACTGTAGGGACATGGTCATAGTCTGTACTATTTAAACTCTGTATAAGATGTAATTTTGGGATAAAAATAATCTTTAACACCACTTAAAAAGTCATCTGAAACATTCTTATTCAGCAAAAATCAAGAATAGAAAGTATTTATAAATCTTTAACCCACCTTTCTTAAAGAAAGAGTCTGATTCTCTAAATTTTAATGTATTTCTATTCAAACTGTTCTTTGTAAAGGAACTCTTTGGCATTCTATATTGTGAGATGTTCTCTTTATTTTTAAAGAAAATAAAAATGTCTTTTTAATGACTTATTCCCACTTACTAAAGATAATGTTGTTGTGTATTTTAATTTTGCATTTACTCTGAGGTAGAAAGAAGTTATATTGAAAACAAGGTATGAAAAGTAAAGCCATATCAACATGCTGAGCTGTAAAAAGCTCAAGTCAACAACTTCTGACATTGTCAGTCATACAGATAAACCACTACTTTTTTTTTTCTTTTTTTGGGAACTGAGGATTGAACTTGTCAGGCAAGCGCTTATTCTACTGAATTATCTCTCCAACTCCTCAACCCACTACTATTATGGACTAGTGCACTATGTTGGATTATTTTGCTGAATTCACTCATGTACCTAAAATATTTTAATGGCAATGGGATACCCATCCCTGACAAAACTAAACAAAAAAAGGGGATATAAATGAAGGATCATTTTGTATCTGTATATATAAAATAGGATAGATATGCAGCTACTTTCTATTAATTTAATGAGAAGAAAGATTTGTACTGATAGTGTTTAGACAAGAAATCGTGTCTGCATCTTGAACTACGACTAACCACTACAAGGACAACAATATGCAATGTAATAATTATTGAAACTGTCCTGCTAATCAGTTTTGAAACTGTTTCATTAGTATTTGTTTCTCAATAAAATTAATAAAAATAAAAATAAAATAAATTTAAAAATTTTAAAAGAGAAAAAAGAAAGAAATTATATTGAAATATGCATTTTACAAAACTCTTCTCACAACTATATGTATTTGCTACACGTATGTGGAACATATAGAGTTTTTGAATACACTGAAATCACATTCATACAAGTATATTTGGTTGATTCATTTTCCCCAATATCACTTCATCTATAACACAACTTTACTGAGATTCCTTGCACTATTTTTAATCCTTGTGATTTGAATGTTAAATCAATCATTTACATCTAATTAAAAAATATGGATTCATTGTGTTGAACTGAGTGATAAATTAGCAGAAATGAAAGTGATTATAAATGTTAGAGTGGTGGGTAAACTTTTGGAAATCAGAACAGTAAAGGATTATTTTTTTTTTTTTTTAGGGAGAGAATCACTTAACTTGCTAAAATTGAATATGTGTGTTTGCCACTCCATGCACAGTGATTTAGGTTCATATTGTGTCAGCTTTAGGAATCTTGCCTCTTCACTGTGTTTCCAGGTGGTTCACGTGGTAGCATCACAGATGAGATATATGATAGTTTAGCAAATTTTAAGTTTCTGTCATTCACTGTTTCACTTTGAAGAATAAAATAGTAGTTATTAATACGCTTAATGTAATGTTTTGTTTCCTTCCATGGTGTGCCTTTATAGAGAAACAGACTAACGAATTTAGTTATTTAATGAGGGGGAAAGTTTATTTTTTGAGATCTTGTAAATTTGAATAGTCAGTGAAAAAAAATTTTTTTCTTCAACTTTCTATGTGATCCTATTACTACTGTTTAGTTACTGCAAAAGGTTTTTAGGATCCCCAAATCTTTTTAACTGACATGTTACCCTTTACTAAAATCAGCCTTAGAAATCAAAGAATATATTTCCCTGTAGTCCCATTAAGCCATTCAGATGGCCTCTTTATGAGACTGCAGCAAAGTGCAACTCTGATCACCTTCCTGCACCAGTCCACAATAATTCCCTTCTCTAGAGCTACTAAGAAAATGCAAACAAACAAACAACAAACAACTCCACTGAAGAGTTCTCATGATGCATAATTTCCTCTACTTAATACCAGTTTGAATGCTCAACTCAGATATTCTTGTGCAAACTGAGAAGTAAAATATATCTTCAGGTTTCAATTTTTACATTATATTGGACTAAAAAAAAGATGAGGTTGCTGCAATAGGAGCGACCTAAAATACTATATAAACAATAAAAACTAAGCATTTTGGTTGAAATTGGACTGTTAAGGATAAAGTCTATAAGAACATGCTGATCTAATTTGTAATAAAATTGTTTACTAAGACGCTTGCAAAAGATATCCTCCCCCATATCTTGTCTAGATTTCATCCACAGGTTTCAGAAATTGCAGAAATAAAGCAAAGACATTTTCTATCAGTAAATAACAAGAAATTCTCTAATTTCCAAAACAAATAAAAACTCAAAATTATACATTAAATTAAAACTAGTTTCTGGTTTTTTGAAGATAAAAATTATTTTTCTAGGATTCCACTAAAATACATAACATATAAAAACACTTCAACAAAGGCTCACTCTTCTTGAGAAAACTTCTTAATCTTATACTTTGAATGAGAGTATGCTTTATTTTTCTGTTAAGGGAGTAACATGTGAAATTGCTGGAAGAATAAAGAAGGCCCTGTCTTTACTTTGAAACTACAAAGTTAGGATTTTACTCCTTATGTTGCCTTAATCCCTCAGTCAAAGATTCACGTGTTCCATCCCCCATCTTAGATAAAGAGGGACTAGAATGTTGACTGTACGTTTTCAACAATATCCCCTAACCTAGTTATAAAATATAATGAAGTGGGTGCTGTTTACATGGGTAAACTGTGTAGAGGCATTCTCCTCTGACACTTGAAGGAAATTAAAGAACCTTCAGATGTAGAGCATTTCAGAGTACACACATGCTTAGGAGTTTAAGGAGGACACCCCCACAGCACTTTCCTTCTTAGCGCAGCAAAACCAGAAGCATTACTTTAGAATTTGTTCATTAAATTCACTTGATTTTAGCATGATTTTTTAACACTATAACAAGGCCAACTCTTTTCACATATATATTTCCCAATTCATGCCCAACAGACCCCTTCCCACCCCAGGGAGGCAGCAGTAATAATCTGTGTAGGGTCTTCTTGGCTCTCTGGGCCTTTGATCTGAGTGTAGGGATGTCCTGCATAGATTTATTAGAGAGGTCTAGCCAACCTGCCCAAGCCTCTTTGCCTTTGGCCCTTCCCCGGTACGCTGTCCTTGGTACTGAAACACGTTTGGCTATCGGGTTGCTGGGTCTGAGAGAGGCTGGATAGAAAACCTGGCTGAGCAAATGCCTAGATGCAGGAGCAAGAGATACCTTGTTGTACAGAAGCAGAGCCAGCCCCAACCCCAATCCTCCCTCACACATGTCTCTCCGGTGAGCGCCAAGACCCCATGTGAAATGATTTCTCCCAGGCCCCCAACCGAAAGCCTTCAACATGGCCTCAAATGCAGACACGTATCAGCATAGCCCAACTCCTCACTGGATTGCAGTAATAAGAAAACGATACCCTCAAACGGAAAGTCTCTCATGAGGTTTTTGCTTTACCACTCCAAAACAAAGCAAATGATAAAATCCAATACAGTCATAGTTAAACCAACGTGACTTTCCTTTTACATGTCTCCCATTCCTACCCCATATATTCACTTTTCCCTAAATTACAAACCAAAAATCCCAGACGAACGTTTTAAATTTGAGTGGTCTCCACAGTTTCGAATCTCTCCCCCTTCCCCCAACTCCCCAGAACAAAATGACGGTGAAAATAGAGCATCTTACCCTGGGTAGAGGGAGAGCAGGAGCAGAATCCACACCGTCATTTTCTGAGAAAATACAGGAGTCCAGCAGACTGAGGTTCCTGTGCTCCATATATTTGGCGAACTCATCTCTTTTTTTCCCCTCTTGCTTCTTGTCTCCTGGTTGCAGAAGAATCCCTCCCCCTTTGTATTATTATTATGCTTATGATTTGATGATGGCTCCCCCCCCCCACCTGCCTCTAGTAGGGACCGTCACTGGGGAGGTTATTGCTACCAGCTTCAGGAATTAATATTCAGGGACCAGAAATAAGATCAGCACATAGGCTTGCAGATAACATCAAAGCGTCAGCTCCTGTAGCCAGCTTCCAAGTGTAAGGGAATAATATAATTGAGCCAGGGGGAGGGTACAGGGAAAGATTCACACAGAGACAAATAAGAAAGGGAGAGACAGAAAAGCGCGCACAATCACGATCCTCACACTCACGCAAACTCCCCCACGTCCATCGTGTTCGGTTTATTTATTGGCTGTGTTTCCTTTCTTTTTCTTTTTTCTTTTTCTTTTAGAACTCTGTGTGTGTGTGTGTGTGTGTGTGTGTGTGTGTGTGTGTGTTTAAAAAGAGGCAAAAATCACTAAAGGCTCTATGTGATTAATTATCACGCAGCAGATTAACTGCGAGGTCAAAGTGGAAGTGATGCCTGCCGCTGCAGCAGGAATTAACACATGCGTGGCGTCCTGTCCGTGCTTTTTAACCCTTCCCTGCACACACAAACACCCAACGACCGATGTTCACGGAAAGAGACTTCAGCAAGCCCAGAAACTGAATCACTAGAGCCAGAAGGTTTATCTTGTCAGATCTGCCAAGAATACTTATTTTAAAATCGTGCAGTTTTTGAAATCATGATTACATTGTTGGGGGCGGGGAGCAACAGTGGGGGAGGAGCGGCTGTCTCTAAGGCATCCTGTGGGAAGAGGTACTTGGTGAGTTGAATCTGAATGAAGGGGTGAAACACTGAGAAAGTTAAAAGGAATAGGAAAATTGTATGATGAGCAGGACTTTATACTGTCCTGGTCTTTTCCCTAACCCCTGTAATAATGTGAAGATACGAACTTCTTGAAGTTTGAAGGTCCTGTCACAGGGGGAATCTGAGTGAGTAAAGGATATAGATCACACTCCAAGGGTTGCTTTCTTACTAGAGGACAGAGATGATCAAGAGGACATTTAGCAGTGCAGAAGGATTTCTGATCTTTGTGAGAGGACTGACTTTTATTGTCATTCGTAATAATCCTGAACATCTCTGGGTGTTGTTACCCTGCTTCCTTCTTGGTAAGTATGTTACCATGGATACTGATACAAAGCAGAAAGCCCTTTATGTCAACCTATTTCATGCACCACAGAAGAAATGCAATTCACTCCTCTAGAGGAAGAGAGTAGAGGAGGGTTTTATGAGTCAACAGTGACTCAACTCACCCCAACCAAGCTCTCATAAAGGTGAAGAGAGCAAAGCAGACTTCTTACCAGAAAACACCAGGAAATCATCTCTAAACTTGTATCTTCCCAGCAAGAGGAATGACATTAGACTCAGAAGTCCATGAGTTAGGAAGAGGATACAAGGTAACCAGCTGCACCATCCATTGCAAACTGTATAAAATACATCCAAGAAAAGCAGAGAGTTACTGGTAGCTAAATGACCTGGGCTGAGGAGATGCATTCTGACAAGGAAGGAAAAGAGGCCTGCGTACCTGGAAGCTTGTAGTGGGTCAGAGCTCTACCTTAGGCAAAGTTATCTCTATGGGACCTGGACAAAATTCAGCTAAAAACAACATTCATATGCAGTCAGTTGATTTCCTTGTATTGTGGCTAAAATGAAGGTAGAGCATATATTAATTCTTTTTCTTTGAAATTCTTCTGCATTGTGCTGCAATGAGAGGAGCATTGGCCTTATAGTTCAATTTGTATTTTTAAGAGGCGATGTTGTTTATAACTACATTTGATTTAGTCAGAAAATCTGATGGTTTTGGGCAGGCGAAGGCCTAAGTGCCTCCACATAATTAGATGCCTACAAAAACCCAGCAAGGCAAAGGAAAGAAAAGGAGATGATGAATCTATTTAACATCAGGAAGTCTTGCAGTGTATTAAGAGAATCCATTGAGGAATTTCAACTGGTTATCCTATCTTGGCATAATTGTAATTGTAATCTTCATAGTTCTTAGGAATCAAGGAGCCTCTGCGGATCTTATTTAGAGTTAGAGGTTAAGGTTAGGGTTAGATGAATAGTCTCTAAAATACGTTTTAAAATTTTGCATGCTAAATTTCCTGATATTTCTAAGAGATCTCCTCTAGAATTTTGTAATCAGCTCTAAGTTATGTTTATTCTTATGCATCTTGAAAAAATGTTTATGTTGTACAAAAATAGCAATTATTTGATAAGCATGTTGCCAGTATTCTTATTGAACATAATATATATATATATATATATATATATATATATATATATATGTGTGTGTGTGTGTGTGTGTATGCACATTTGTTTTAAAAATTGTATTATCATTTAAAAAGTATTAGAAAATAGAAGAAAACTATCACCCACATATCCTACGCTAATAAAGCATTGTTCTTGTGTTAGAAAGCAGTTTTGCAAGTCAATCCTTTTTAAATGTAGTTTTGATTTTACTTTTAAGTTGAAGTTTTATGATAATATTACTAAATAACATTACTGTTTGATTCCTGTTCCCAGATGCATATTATGAGTATAAATCCTGAGGTCTACTTCTTCCATTGCCAAAGTTGAAAACCATTTTGTAGATAAAAGCATGACTTTGAAAAAAAAGTCATATAAACCAACTATGTGAATTACTAGAAAACCCAAAAAGTATCTAAAAAGCATGAAAAAATTGAGATCGAATAAAAATAGAATTGGATGAGATCTGGGATTAGGTGGCTTTTCCCTCTCAAGGTACTTTCCACTAGGTTCTATTTGACTGGAAGTTTCTTGATTGCAGCATACCAAGTCCCACTTCCCAGGAGCCTCCTCAATGCCTAAAGTGCAGGGTAATTAGAAACAGCTGAAGGCAGAGATATTCCTGGTACAGGATTTCAGGTGGAAACTGGGGCTACCGAAACAGCTCACATTTCTTGTTATATAGGCCCTGCTTTATCTTGGTCTTAACCATCCAGCAGAGAAATATAAAAACAAGGTATAAAAAGTAAAGCCATATCAATATGCTGAGCTGTAAAAGGTTCACGTCAACAACTTCTGACAATGCCAGTCCTATGGATAACCAACTACTATTATGGACTACTGGACTATATTGGATTATTTTGCTGAACTCGTTCACATACCTACAATATTTAAATGGCAATAACATACCCATATCTAACAAGACTAAATGAAATAAAGGGGATATAAATAAAAGACAATTTTGTATCTGTATATACAAAATAGTTAGGATAGATATACATCTAATTTCTCTTAATTCAATGAGAAGAAAGATTTTTATTAATAGTGTTTGGACAGAATATAATATCTGCATCTTATACTATGACTAACCACTACGAAGATAACAATATGCAATGTATTAATTATTGAAACTGTCCTACTAATCTGTTTTGAAGCTGTCATTGCGATTTGTTTCTCAATAAAATTCATTTTTAAAAAAAAGCTTCCAAAATGAAGAGAAAGACTCAAACAACACAGCAGTAGAAAGCTAAGACTTGTATCTGAATATAAACTTCCCTTAATTGTTTGTTTTTGGTCCATGTGAGAAGAAACACACAGTAATAAGTCTGGAAAAAAGAAACAGTAGAAAGTAGGACTGAAAACCTGAGCCACTATTTCTGCCTCCACTCATTTCAGAGCTCGGATCCACTGAGGTTAGAATTTGAATCTGAGCACATTCCAGGATCTTCCTAACAACTGGAGACTTTAGCTCAAAATTCTGGGTTCAAAATTTCTGGTTCAAAACTTTTATTCTCAAGTTAATAAGCTGCTCCATGTGTAAGGACAACATCACAACCAAGCGACATGAAAGCTCACAATCCAGCCCTGCACAGCATTAAGGTGGCTCCTAGTATAGCAAAAATCATTGTTCTTCAGAAGGACAAGAACAAATCTGAATGTTATCAATATATTATATGAAATGTCTGATGCATGGTAAAAAAAAACACAAAAAACATGTAATGTGCAAGAAAATAAATCACATATTAGAAAACCATTCCAGTCAAGAGAAACACACAAAACTTAAAATGATATATATTATAATTAGCATATAAAGAAATTCAATTAACCATTAAAAATAGATCCAGGACTTACAGAAAAAAAAAGATTTATGATGTTTCTATGGTCAAATTATTGAAGAGTATGGAATCTCAGTATGGAAATGGAGACATTTTTAGTAAAGGAAAATAGAAATTCTAGTGCAGGCCAAACAGCTCAGTCAGGACCAGACAAATAGCGCAGCAGATTAAAACACCTGCAAGCAGGCGCAAGAGCCTGGGATTCCATCCTGGGGCCTGCAGTGCTGCGCTCCCTCCCCCACCCCCCTAGGCACACTGAGATGTCAATTGAGACTGGAAGTGCTGGTGCTTGCCTGTAATCCCACCTCTTGGGAGGCTGTAAACAGGTGGATCGCTAGGAGTCTGATCTAGTAGTGAAACCCTAAACACCATGTAGATCCTTCCCTTAAATACAAAAATAAAATAAAATAATCTGTTGTAAAAAGTAAAAAGAAATTCTTCAACTGGAATTTATTTTTTATTAATTTTATTGAGAAACAAATAGCAATGAGACAGTTTCAAAACAGGTTAGCAGGACAGTTACAATAATTAATACATTGCATATTGTTGTCTTCATAGTAGTTATTCATAGTACAAGATGCAGACATGATATCCTGTCCAGACACTGTTAGTACAAATCTTTCTTCTCATTTAATTAAGAATAAGTAGTTGTAT